CCAATTATGTTCATAGCCAAGAGTCATCAATCAAGTTCTCCAATTATGTTCATAGCCAAGAGTCATCAATCAAGTTCTCCAATTATGTTCATAGCCAAGAGTCATCAATCAAGTTCTCCAATTAGAGATATGCAGGGCAGGGTAGCTTAGTTATCATATTTACAAGATAAGAATGGAACGCACTTTCGGTTCCAAACTGCTGCACTGCTCCTTCAAATTTCTCCCCACCCCCCTTTCTGTTCATGGCAACTCTACAACAGGCATAGAAATGTTTTATGAGTTGACATCCTGCCTGCCTGGGTAGAAAACGTCAAAACTTTTTAAACAGGGTGAAGGAACGTAAGCAAGCACCGAAGAAACAATACCGTCCTGGAGGGAGAGATGACCGTATCGGAAATGGTTTCATCCACTTAGTGACATGCTCCTATACCACCTTACTCAGGTTGTGCTCTCATAATTTCTGGGGTGGGCCTTCTCTGGCTTCTGCGCTTGAGAGAACCCTACAAAATCATCTCTGCCTTACGTGGGGATATTAGCTAATTTTAAAATTTTAAATTACGTCGAAGGGGCCAGAAAGCACCTTATTTCCTGGAGCACAGCTGTCATCTGAGAAATCACACCAAGTGGTTTGTGGCCGCAGCCACTGAAAGTTTGGCTTGTGACCCCGTCTTAATGACAATTTGCTGGTCCTCGGCTTATGACCACAGTTGTTTTAAGTGAGACATTGGGGAAACGAGTGTCAGATCCGTGTATCTTGTCATTTCTTCAATGGAAGAAGAAAAGGGTGGAGGGGGGGGGGGACTGATAAAGAAATCCTTCTTGATGTAACCTGAATATATTTAATCTTATATCGAATTTGTATAACCTACACATGATACAATGGAGGGATGAAACCCAGATGGCCGGACCCTATCACCTCTGAGAGAGACGGCCAGGAGATGAAGAGACCATAAAAATTCCACAGTGAGATGTGTCCTGGGAAACTCTGGAAAAGATCGTTCTAAAAAAGGGGGGGGGGAATTAACATGTTGGCTCTTTTGTTTTACTAAATACACATCAAGAGAAGGGGAGGGGTCTTAAACTCCCTTATCTATCCCTGCATGCCTGAAGCACGTTAGATGCTGCTTTTAGCCCCTACATGAATTGTCTCATCTCAATAAAGGATTCCTTTTGATACGTTTGGTTTTCAGAAGTTCATTCTTGTTAATTGAACGGGAAAAAGTTCTGTAGCCTGACAGTGAGTTTTGCCGCATGGTACAACCTTCCTTGCCACCATTGTTAACGCCGAATCCCTGCAGCTGATAAGTTAGTTGTCAAAGGGAATCTGGCTTCCCCACTGAGTTTGCTTGTCAAGACGGTTGCAAAAGGGGAAATCACGCAGACACGGCAACCGTCGTAAGTATGAGCCAGTTGCCAAACACCTGAATTTTGATCAGGGGGTATGCTTCGAAAGTCGTAACTGAAAAATGGTCATAAGTCATTTATTTCAGCGTCGTAACTTCGGACGGTCCCTAAGTGAGCCGTTGTAAGTCGAGGACTGCCTGTAGTAAATGCTAAATCCCCCCGCAAAAAAAAAAAGCTTCCCTTACTTGGTAAAGTTCCTCCTTGGTCACGTAGGGCTTGCCCTCCGAGCTGAGGGCGCGGAAAGCGCTCTCTATCTCCTCGCTGGACTTCACGTTCTCCGTCTCCCTGCTGATCATGAAAGCCATGTACTCTTGGAGAGAGACATGGCCATCCCTGCCGGAAGGAGAGGGGAAAAAAAGTTGGGAGAGGGAATTCTGGGAGTTGAAGTCCACCCATGTTGAAGTTGCCATGTTGAGAAACGCTACCATTCTGACCCAGCTCCCCAAACCCTCTGATGTGAACTCAAAAAAGATTTCTTTATTAGGAGCCCCGGCAAAAAGTTTCTCTCTCACTAGTAGCAGTGGCTCTTCCGTTCCAGGGACCGGCCCATAGATTTCCACTGCTCTCCTCTCCTCATCAAAAAGTTTCTCTTAACCACAGGCTAATAAGTCCGTCCGGCAGGGAGATGAATAGTTGTCTGTCACATTTATTCATCTCTGCCACCTGCCTTTGATCCCCAGAGCTAGGGAGGGGCTTTGCTAGCAGCAGTGGCTCTTCCATCCCAAGGACCGGCCCATAGATTTCCACTGCTCTCCTCTCCTCTGCCTTTTTCATATCTGTGCATCAGGCACTGGACCCAGCTGTTCCTCCTCTTCCTCATCAGCCACCTCCAGACCTGGGGGCTGTTGACTCTCCATCTGAGGCCTGACAGACAGCCCAGGCTCCGCCCCCCCTCTCTCTGACAACTCCATTCCCTCTTCCCCCTTGGAGCTCTCAGGTTGCGGACCCTGACTCCCACATCTCCCCCTCCTCCTCTGATTCAGTTGCTGGAGAGGCCAGTGGCCGACAGGCCACAACACCTGCCATACAGCTTTCGGGGTGAAAACCACAAGGGGATCCCTCTGAATGTTCTTACCGGTTGGGATCAACCGTGTCAAGAATAGCCTCAAATTCCGGATCCGGTTCTCCTTCCTCCACCATGGGCAGATCATAACCCAGGGAGCGCAGGCAGGATTTAAATTCCTGGTGGTTCAGACGGCCAGATTTATCCTTGTCGAAGTGCCTAGGATTAAATGAATTGATTTTACTTTTATTGGCTATACCTTTTCCAGACAGGCTATGAAAGAAACTCCAGATGTTGCTTTAGTACACAGAAAGATTTGCTGGGATTTGGACAGGCTACACACATATATAACCAGACTGCATGTCAGCCATGGGGCTAAGATCTAAGTTCAAAATATTCTTAAACATCCATCTCACCCTGGGCACCCCCCCCCTTTTTTTTGAACTATTACTATCTGGCAGACGGTACAGGACAACAAAAATGGCTAAGGACGCAGAAAAAACAATTACTACCAACCTGCCTTCCATTGGGGACCTGTATACTGCATGAGTCAAAAAGAGGGCTGTGAAAATGTCTACAGACCCCTCACATCCTGGACATAAACTGTTTCAACTCCTACCCTCAAAACGACGCTATAGAGCTGTGCACACCACAACAACTAGACACAAGGACAGTTTTTTCCCCAAATGCCATCACTCTGCTAAACAAATAGTTCCCTCAACACTGTCCAACTATTTACTAGTCTGCATTACTATTACTATTAATCTTCTATCACCCATTCCCTCCCACTTGTGACTGTAGGACTGTGACTTTGTCGCTTGTATCCTTACGATTTTTATTGACTGTTTCCTAGTATGATTTGATTGCTTATTGTACCCTATGATGGTATTCTGTTTGCTATATAACCCTATGACTATGATTCTTGATGAATGTATCTTTTCTTTTAGGTACACTGAGACCATTTGCACCAAGACAAATTCCTTGGGTGTCTAATTACACTTGGCCAATAATTCATTCATTCATTTTCATTCAAATAGGCTGAAAAACAGCTTCTATCCCAGAGCAGCAACTAATATTGAATTCTACGGTCTAGTGCAGGGGTCCCCAACCACCGGGCCGCGGACCGGTACCGGGCCGTGGAGCACTCTTTACCGGGCCGCAAAGAAAAAAAAATTAAAAAAAATGGCGGCTTTCTTCGCCTTCGGTGAATGCTGCTGGGATCGGGGATCAAGGACACAAATGAAAGAAGGGGAGGGAGGAAGCAACCGAAGCCTGTCCTGCTCTCTGGCTCAGCTCTCTCAGTCGCTTTCTCGCTCCTCCACCAGCCCAGGAAGAAACTGCTTCAAAGAAGCCGGGGGGGGGGCTTTTCCTGTCGCCGCAGCTTCCCCGAAGCGCCCGTTTCACCCCCACCCCGCCCGCCCGCCCGCTCGCGGTTCAATCCACAGTGCTCCGTTCTGCCTGCCTGCCTGTCTGGTTGTTTGGGAGCAGCTTCGGCTGAGAATAATAACTATTCGCCTCTTTTTATCAGCCGAAGCTGCTCCGAAACGAAGAAGGCAGGCAGGCAGGCAGGTAGAACGGAGCACTGTGGATTGAACCGCGAGCGGGCGGGCGGGGTGGGGGTGAAACGGGCGCTTTGGGGAAGCTGTGGCGACAGGAAAAGCCACCCCCCCCCCCCCCCCCGTCGGCTTTGAAGCCGTCTCCTCCCGGGCCGCCGTAGGAGCGATAGAGTGACTGAGAGAGGAACGAGGCAGACACCTGAGGGAGGGAGGGAGGGAGACACCTGAGGGATGGGGCTGAGGGAGGCAGGGACGAGGCGCTCCCTGAGCTTGGTGGTTTGCTGGCAGACGTTTTATTACCCGACTAGGTAACAACATGAGATGTTACCTAGTCAGGTAATGAAACGTCTGCAAGCAAACTACCAAAGTCGGATTCTCTTCCCCCCCCCCCCCCCCGGTCCTTGAAAAAATGTTTCTGCTTGAAACCGGTCCCTGGTACAAAAAAGGTTGGGGACCACTGGTCTAGTGCAATATGAATGCAATATCAGGGGCCTTCAATTCAATTGCATAGAATGTGAAGGACGTGTGCTTTTATTTTTTATGTATAATGTACACTGAAGAGGGCATTTAATTTCGTGGTACGAGGTGAAGTGACAATAAAGTAAATTAAGCTAAACTAAAAAAACTTAAACCGGGTTCAAGTTTAAAAACAGGACTGGCTTTTGGGCACCCAGGAGAAGGTTTGCAGGCGAGGACGGCCACACCTGAAAACCGCTGCAAACTTACTTGAACATCATGCTGAATTCCTTCAGAGCTTCTTCGGTGACACCTGTGGTGTTCCTGAAAAACAAGAGGAAAGTGTTCCCTCGGTGAGAGGTTGGCACTGGAACGACGCCAAAGAAAAAGGAAAAGATTGGATGGGGGAAATCTCGTTTCCCAAGTGAACAGAGTTCCTGCCTCTTTGACTTAACCCGTTGCCCCAGTAGGGTGGTTTGAGAACCGTTTGGGCTGGAGGAAAATAAACCTGAGAAGTGTTCTTTCCCCTCGTTTGGTCCACCAGCTGAGTGTCTCTGGAGATTCTCAGCCACCCAGGTCAATTGTCCCAAAGGTGCTTTTCTCCCCCCGCCCCCCCAAGAGGCAACTGGATTTTCTGGTTTTTCTTTGAAGAGGTTTCGCTTCTCGTCCGAGAAGCTTCCTCAGCTTCTCTCAGAAGCGTCTTCTGCTCTCAGAGCGGAAGAAGCTTCTCGGATGAGAAGCGAAACCTCTTCAAAGAAAAACCAGAAGCTCCAATGGCCTCTTGGAAAAGACCTTTGGGTCAACCACCTGGGGTGACAACCAGGGGGTGGGCTTAAATATTTTTTTTTAGCAACGGGTTCTCTGCCCGGTGGCTGGTTGGGCGTGGCCTACTCGGCCCCCCCCGCACCATGGGGTGTGTGTCTTGTTTTTGCCCTCCCTGGGCTCCGAAGGCTTTCCTCCAGCCTCCAGGAAGGCGAAAACAGCCTCCCCCGGGGGGGCTCTGGAGATTCTCTGGAAGCTGGAAACAGGCCCATGTCTGGCCTTCCACCCTCCCTGAGCCTCCTCCGTGCAGGCCCTGCACTTACCTGCATCCAAAATGGGCACCTCCAAAGTGGGGGCTCCTGGAAGGAGGGGAAGGGTGGGGCAGGGCCAGCCAGGAGTTGGATTTGGGGGTTCTCTAGAATCTTAGCTAGGGGGGGTCTCCGGAAAGCCTGCGAGCCCCCCCCCCCACCCTCCCTGAGCCACCCCTGGTTACAAGATTTGAAGAAGCCGACCCACCTCCCATAGAGACCAACCTTTCTCTGCAAAGCTACCCCACCTGGCCTGGATCTGCTGCTCCAGGTTGTGCTGCATTCTCATGCCCAGCTGATCCAGCTGGTCCCACTGCTGGGCCAGCCCCACCGTGCTGTGCTCGGTGTACTTGTTATCCAGGATCAGGGCCTCTTCCATAGCTGCTCCGAGGTCTTCGATTTTCTTCAGCTGGCTCCTCATGGCTCGGATCTCCTGGTGCTTGCGCTGAAAGGGAAAGAGGGAGAACCGTGCACGAGCCTGAAACCCCGCCCCGCAGACCCCATCCCCCCCCCTCGCTCCACCGCCCCCCCCCCCCCCGGCCGGCCAAAGATTCATCCAAACTGAACTGGAAAGAAGCTTCGTATACAGGTAATCCTCAACTTAACGTTCGTTTATGACTGCTCAAAGTTACTGTCGGAGTAGATTCATGAACGGGAAGATAAGAGCATGGTAACAAGGTCAGCCAATGAATAGGCAAAGCAACTACGTGAGCCAATGAGGACTGTTTGGAAACTGAAACTAGAAGTAGCCCAGGCGTGGCTCTATATTAAACTCTGCAGCTCTGAAGCTATGTTAAGTTCTGAGTCTGTCTATTGAAAATGAAACCGCTTCTCTCCTCTGCTGTGTGTCTTGCTTGCCTGTTGAACTGAAGAGAAACTGAGGTCTCTTTCTGAGCTCCTGAGTTGCTGCTGTTCTGCTCTGAACCTGTAACATGCCTGCTTCTGTTTGAGTTCGCTCCACGTTGGAGAAATCTACAACTGGTATTGTAAAATTTACTTTACTTGTTTATAAAGAAGTTTAAATGAAGCCTCAGCCATCCGTGTTTACTTTTCTAGGGTTGGAATTTACGTTGCAATAATCTGAACAGTTACAGCAACAATTTATGACCATTTACAACCATGTGCGGCATCCCCATAGGTCACGTGGTCAAAACTCACAACAAGTCCTATTTATGACGGTTTGCAGCGTCCCGGGGTGTGTGTGTGTGTCCCCTTTGGCGACCTACTGACAAGCGAAGTCAATGGAAAAGCCAGATTCGCTTCCCAGCCATATTCCTATTTTATGATGGCACTGGTTCGCTTAACGACGGTGGCAAGCAAGGTCCTAAAATGGGGCAAGACTCACTTTAACGACTGTCTCGTTTAGCAACAGTTATTTCAGTGGGGATCATAAGCTGAGGATTTCCCTTTATAACTGTTCTTTGTTAAGCCTTCCTCCCTCCCACTCCCACAACTCTGGAATTTGTCAAATGTCTTGGAACCCAATTTAGGAAAGAAATTCCAGGTTATCTTCTCTTGCTTGAAATTACAGGTAGTCCTCGCCTTACAACAGTTCATTTTGTGACCGTCCAAAGTTGGGAAAAGTGACTTAGGACCGCTTTTCCCGCAGTTACAACCTTTGCAGCATCCCTGTCAATCAACGTGATCAAAATTCAGAGGCTTGGCAATTGCTTCATACTTATGACCATGGCCGTTGTCCCCGGAGGTGTGACCTTTTGACCAGCAAAGCCCAAGGAGAAACCAGATTCACTTAACAACCGGGATACTAACCTATCAACCTGCAGTGATTCCCTTAACAACGGTGGTGGCAAAAGAAATGTCTCACTTAACCACAGCAATGTTAACTCGAGGACTACCTGTATTTTAACCCTGATAGGAATCCTCCTCCTCATTTCGTTCCATCAAAATACACACCTTGGTTGCTTCCAGCTGCGACTCCAGGGTGCCAGATTCTTCCACCATGCAAGACCTGAAGAAGAGATTGGGCATGAGAGAGGCTCTTCAGCCAGTCAAAGAAATGGGGCTCGGAATTAACACGCTAGCCTCGCTTAAGGACGGGTCTGTTTAGTTCAATTAAGGCGCCAATACACTGAGGAGCAGCGTGGTAGAATGGTTGCAGGCCCAGCAGCCTGGAAAATGGCACTCCTAGTCTTGCTTAAGGCACGAAACCAACTCCTAAGCAGCTCTTTGGATGGCTTACAAAATAGTTTTTTTTTTTTTTTTAGAAACCATTAAAAAACAAGGAAACAACATGGAACAGAACAAACACGCACGGCACCCCCTCTGTAGTGTTTTTTTTCACAGGGGGAAAAAAAAATGTTAAGATGTTTATACGCTGAAATTTGGGATATTTATCAATGTAAATCCAATCCACGTGTATTGACCATCTGATTATTTTAAGTGTCTTGGAGTGGTTTGCAAATCCTCCAAAAACGTAAAAGCCAGTTGAAGTCTTTCACCTTGATAGCAAAGTATCTTCTTGGGGTATATAGGGAAAACCCCTAGGAGAAGCGGCCGATTTACACACACTAGATTGGTGTGTGCGTGTGTGTGTGTATCCATGCAGATCAAATGCATAGCACCAATCTAGAAACCTGATCTTGCAAAAGTGTGTGGCAAAACCCCATTTCTCCTTTTTTTAATTGCTCCTGCAGAATTCCTCTCTACACGAATAAAAGTTTGGTTTTGGAGCAAAGGCAAGGGGTGGGTGGGTGGATCCCTTTTCAAAACCAAAGTGTGGTCTGAATCTTTGGGTGGGGGGGTTGGATTAGAAGACCTTCCAAGGTCCTAGGATTCTGTGGTTTTAATTTCAAGCCCCATTTCGCAAACCTAAGTTAAGGGCGGCAAAAAAAAATCAAAAAAATAAAATCCATGCAAGTTCTAAAGCGCTGGTTTAGATCTGTAGGCAAGGGGGTTGCCCCCCGCAGCCATTCCCTGGAGCCTGACACACATACACACACACACAAGCCGCCGGTAAATTGCTTGAGATGAATGGGGGCGGGAGGGGGGAGTGCTTGTCAATGAGGCAAAAGACTTGACTGAGGATTTGCACAGTGCGATAGGGAGGGGAAAACTATGCACAAACTGCCTTGGCTCGGTTTGCACACTCCCTGCTCGTAGGGCAGGATCTTTTCAAGCAAAGAAAGAAAAAAAAAGCGTAGTGCCTTGGGCATCCAAGGTGCAGCTAGTCAGGGCTCTTTTTAAAGTGACCCAGAACGATCCATCTTTTGGGTTGCTCTACTGTAATTTAAAGATTTTTCTTCCCCGGGGCTCTTTTTGATCGAAAATGATCCATCTTTTG